ACAAATTATCATAAGCACAGCCCTATGCAGAACTTCAGTTATCTAATTTTCAGTCTAAATACTTTTTGAGGGAGATCAGAAAGTTACTGTTTCTACACAGGAAAGAAATCCTCTTCCAAACATTTCCCAGGGAAACTTTAAAAAACTTCTGTAACAACATTATGGTGCCAATACAACAAACTCTGAATGTCTTTTCCTAACAACTTAATACTTGTTCCTCACAACAGTAGTATGCTAGAGTTTTACCCAGACATGTAAGAAGGTTTATGCTTTCACCTACCAGCCAGTGTTCCCCAATGCAATGGAAACGGAGCTCAGCAAAAGGTTACATTTGGATTCACTGAGAACTGCATCGTTATTTGCAGCTGGAGCAATAACCACAAACTCACGTAAACCATACCTTAAGAGAAAGAAAAAACACACAGTCCTGGGTTTTAGCAATCCAGCTGGAACAGATTTTTTTAGAAATATTTTAACCCAAGTAACCTAATTATCACCAACATACTGCGGAATCTGTTCTTTTGATGCGCGTACCTGTTTCAGAGAGGACAAGAACTAAGCAGGTGTGGAATGCTGCAGATTCTCAAATCACAAAGTAACAGAGCTCAACAGCATTCAAACACTGTACTCAAAATAATGTGATGACCTCCAGGTCTATCAGTCCTGTGGATTTTTTTAGTTTATGGTAATAACAACTTTAACTATGTATACACAAAAATAATCTCTCTAGAACAATGCTATAATGCGCCAAAGATTTTCATTACTAAGAATGTGGTGGTGGTTGTTTCTTTAAGTACTGCACCCTTCCCTTTTAAGAATACATCTAAATATTACAAATAGAAGAGCTTGGTTAGTGTGTGAAATTTGGGAAAAAAAAAAAAAAAAAACACAAAAAGAACCCACAACACTTTGGGGGGACATAAAAAAAAATTAAAATAGGCCCACTATGGTGGGCATTTTTCACACTCCTTTCCTGTGTCTAGTACAAAGAATCATTTTACTTCAGCTTTAACTTTTGATGGAAAAAACTTGCAAGTGATTGTGTCAGCAAAAAAGATTTTTCCATTGCTATGCCTATTTCTATTAAAGATAAGAGGCAGCATACATACCATCTTACTAGACAGTGAGCTCTAGGAGGAAAGTCATTGTTCATGCACAGCAAGTCCTGCATAGGCAGAGGAAGGGCATCTGTAAAAGAAATTGATACACAAGAAAACATCAGCATCCATTCAGCTGACTTAAAATTATATTAGCAGGTTTTTTAATACAAAGCATACTAGTAGCAAAACATCAGATCACACCCATCAGATCCCAGAAAATTTCACATAGAAGCAAATCACCACACTGTGAATTCCACATTCCGAAACATCTTTACAGGTATGTAAGAGAACTATCACCTACCTTCCACCAGTTCTTCCTTCCCATCTTTGTCACTGGGTTCTTGTACAAGATAATGATGGGTAATTGAGAATTTGAAGTCTGCGAATGAAATTTCATCTGATTTTTCTTCCCATGCTCCTGTGGTGTATACACCCTGCATACATGAAAAAAAGCTATTATTTGATCACATAAATTTAGGCTAACATTCATAAGCCTTAAAAAGTATATTACCTACATGATCTACAATATTTATACAACTTTTTCTGCAGTTAAGTATTTATTACTAAATAGCTAAGCATGATTTAATTTAAAAAGAAAAAATTCTCAAAGCACTTCATTATGAAGGCAGCTGAATGCTAAAACCCATGCTGCCAATAATCACGTTCATTTCAAGGAGTATATATTCCCAAAGAAGTCTTCAGAACTAGATGGCAACAAAGTGGCAGATAAATCCTCTCATACACAAATCTGCATCTTATGCACACACACACTCAACTTTACCCAGAGACAGGAGTTTCCCCCCTGGGATTCTATCTATAACTATACCATTCCACGCAAATGCTACTTTGATACTTATTTTTTAGTATGCTTTTACTGATTATTTTTTTTTTCTATGATCTGCAAAACTTCTGTGTGTCAGCATAGACAAGTTTCTAGGTGAAAAAAAAGAAGAGAACATCATTATACAGAATTGTATGCTGCTACTTAAACAAACCAACTTGGACAACCCTTTAATCTGTAAAGTGTGCCTTCTCACTAGGAATTAAGAAGAGGAGCCTGGTCTAGGAAAGAAGACACACTGGAATACACTGACAGTTATTAGATAACACATGAATTCTCTGTACCCTGACTAAAATTAAAAACTAAAATTCCTCTGGAAACACAGTAGACATCCAGTCCAGAACAGCTGAATATATTTGCACTAGTATGCAGAAGAGCACAGCAATTTCCTCTCCATTTTCCAGGACTGAGAATGTACTACAAAGGCTCTAATTAGACTTTGAGAAATAGCCACTCGGATTTGTAAAACATACTGAGTCACAAGTAGGACTACGCAAATCTCAACTGTATGTATGTGAGGTGTGACAAAGGCACATGACAGGGCAAAAGAATTCCTTCAGAATTTAGAACGGTTTCAACCACACTTCCAGATTCAAAACAAGGGGGAGTGAAGGGGGGGAAATCACTAGGCCCTATATGAAGATCCAGGTTTATCAGGGAAATAGCCTGTTTGGCAGACAGCCCACCAATAACTTTACAAGCATCTGTGAAATTGCCATTTTTACAAGTGAAATTCCCCAGTACAAATCATTATTTGCCACACCTAAGAAAACAGCAACACATGTAACAGACATGTATTACTAATTAGTAATTCAAATTCCAAAGAAAATTCAGAAGCAGTAACTGACCTTTTCTAGAGGTTTGCCTGAAGAAATTCCAATAAGTTTCCAGTCATTCAATACTTCTTCTATTTTTGAAATAAATCTATTAGGGAGGAGGGAAAGGCATTAACATTTGCTGAACAGTAAACTTGTATCATAATTCAGCTACCTAAAAAGCAGGCTATATGTTGTCCTACTGTGGAATTCCTTAAAAGAAAACAAAAAAAAACCCCAAAACAAAACCAAACAAAACACCCCAACCAAAAACCTAAAGAAAAGGCAATTAAAAAAAAAACAAACTATCAGAATAAAAACAGAACAATTGCTTCCTTGTACAAATAAAATGGCCCTCCTGTGTTTACATTTCAAATGACAGTCACTTCTAGCAACTGCTACAAGCATACTTAAAGTGGTTATAGAATCTCACTTTTTTGGGGGGGGGTTGGATTTTTTTTTTTCCTGGCATTGCAGCATATTACTTTTCATACACACTCCTGTTTCTCCATTAACTGAAAAAATGCATTTAAGACAGAATTGTAAACTAAATTCTGATTTAAAACAGAGTGCTTAGAATCTCTACCTCCTTTTGTCAAAGACATCATCGCTTGAAAAAGCCTCTTAAAAAAATAACGTTAAGACTGTAAGAGCACTCTTCACCTTTAATTTTCTTGTATGCTGTTAACTTTCAAAGACTTCAGCTGTAAGATGACTATTTTAATAATAGGAAAATACTTAAAAACCACCTAAGCCTTCTAGATGTTTATTCTAATCCCTTGCAAACAGACAGCAAGACAGAGCTTTGTCTTAAGTTCACCAACAGCTTGGCTAGATCCTCTTAACCAACTCATCAGTGACAGCCTCGGCCGCAGAGACAAGCCGGAACGGCCGTGACGAGGCTCCGGGTGCCACGGGCATCGGCCGGCGCGGCCTCCCGCGGCACAGGGGACTGGTACCCTCGGCAGGAGCGGCCGGGGCAGACACGGCAGAGACCCCCTATCCCCTGGCCGTGACGAGAGCGGAACCAGCGGCAGGCAGCACCTACCTCTCCCATTCGGAGGCGGTGGTGAAGTCCGTGATCTCAAACACCTCTGACTCGGGCTGCGGGGAAAAAGGCGGAGAGAAGCAATGAGCAGGGAGACTGCCACTACGAAACATACAGGGAAAGAGATGGGGAAAACACTCACTTCACTGTCCGCCGCCATCTTCTGCCACTGTCAGAACCCCCCGGCCTGGGCGCAAAAGCTCACGGGAAGGCGGCGAAAGGCGGAGCGAGCCGTCCCACCCCTGAGCGGATGGCCACAGTCCTTTTTACGCCGCGGCAGAGGAGTATTGTGTGACTGCCTTTCCGCTGCCCTCCGTGAGGTGGGGATATCCAGGCTGCCCTCCCGGGCGCTGCCCAAGAGCCGCTTGCTGGGGTGTTTACCTCAGGGAGATGTGAAGCTGGGGAGTGGGTTGGTCCCAGAAACTCTCCGGCTCCGTCAAGGACAGCCCGAGAGGTTAAACGAGGTGCTCTACCGGCTGAATCGCCGTGCGCCCGGAGTACAGGGACGCGAGTGGTGTCACAGCTTGGCACCATGAAGCCAGTTGTGCCCAGCACCCGCAAGTGTATAAGTAATAAACACACTCCTTTTCCAGTCAGCCGGGAGCTGACGTGTCCTCCCCGGGCCTGCTGCTCCGGGCTCAGCCTAAAACGAAGCAGCTGCGCCTCCCAGCTCTCCCTTGTGCAACCCGGGGACATCCTCCAGGTCGTTCAGACATCCAGCAAACCAGTTCCCTTAAAAACCAGTTAAGCTCAGGCTGACCGCGACTACTTTTATCCTTTCTTCTGCCTCAGCACAGTCTGCTACCTTAAAAAACAAAACTCTACAAAAACACTCAAAAACCCAACCAACCAATCAAAAAAAGAATCCTTGAAGTCTGAAGCTTAAAGGTGCCAGAAGGGGTATGAAAAACTATTAATGGGGACTGTTTAGATGAGGGGCCTGAATGCAGTTAAAATTACTTTGATACAGATAATACTAAAAATGACTTAGAAAAGATACTAAAAGATGGAGGTCAACAGAAGAGAGAAGCATGCTTTGTTTTGGGTGCTGGAATAAGTGACTCGTGATTAGAGTTGAAAATGCCACCCTTCAGTTCAGCTGTGCTTGTTTTCATAGGTCACTGCTGCGCTTTGAATTAAACTCCAAGCACAGTGCCTTCGGGGGATGGGACGGGGACGACGACGACGACAGTTGCCTTAGCAACATCGTGTAAACTCAACAGCCCCGTGTAGCAGGAGATACCCGGAGGATGTGCCTGCTGAAGCGCCGGCTTCCTTAATAAGGACTACGTGCTCTGGAGTCAGAAAAACGTGCCGAAAACAAAATCAAGCTATGTGTCATGACTGTCTGAATTCCTTGCTGTCGAGCAAAGGAAGACAGCTGTGAGCTAAAAATTATCTGTAACTTCTCTTTTCTTTGCTGTGCCTCTTCCACACTTCACTACTGAAGCACCAGGTAAGATGTTTATGCTGTTATGTAGTAGAATTTCTAACGAATGTTGAAAATGTTATGTACTACTAGGTGCGGGAGATGTATAAAGCAGAGTATTTTATCCAGTTGTGATGTAAGGAGAAGAAATGATGTAAAAATGCACATGTGAGGAAAATATTAGGGAGATTTTTTTTTTATATAAATTAACAGCATAAGAGCCATTAGATGCCCTTTTTTCATAGTTTTACCTATCTGTGGATTTAATAAACACAAACATAATTTTCTAAAAACCAGACCTTTCTTTTAGTCTGCCATATAGATAAAGTTCTGAAAGAGAACTTAATATGGTGGTTATGCAGTTGCAATGGATTGCAGCGAATTAATTTGAAAGTGCAAATGCAAGAAAATGGAAACATTTCTGTGCAATATAATCTTTTTTAAAGGGACATTAGGCAGTTAAATAGGAGTACCTGCTGCCACATTGTATCAATTATGTCAGTACAACAGAACATTTAACATAATCCAGAAAGGAGTAAGGTATTTGTGCTGTGTAAAAAGTTAGACCCTGTTCAGTAATTTAGGTATGTAAAATATATAACTTGTTATATTACATACTTCCTGATTAGCTATATAAGAAAATAATTCCTTATTATTCCTTACAATTTTCCATTACGGTCTTCATAATATTACTCTCTAGCACACATAAAATTTTGGATGTTGAGAGAGATAATTTTGACTAAGTAGCCAAAGATATGTATTTCATTCAGTTTTGCTTTCTTAGTAAGGTATTAAAATGCAATTAACTCCCAAATGTGAAGTGCTGACTTTCTGGTCCAACAGTAAGGATGAGATTAACAAAATAATACTGATCACTTTTGTGTCTTATTCAACATAGCATGTTGAGATTTTTAGCAATAAAAACTGTCTGGACTGTTTGGTTCTGTGTATTCACACACCAGGGCATTGGATAGTGAATTATAATATTTTTAATTACTCCAAGTACTTTTCAAATGCTGCTTTTGTCTTACTTGTGGCTCTGAAACAATTAAGTGTACTGCTTTGTACGTGGGAGTTGGAAATCAATTAACAAAACATTTTTTTCAGGTTTCTGGACCTTTATACTTTTAGGACAGCATGCCTGACAACCAACAAAATCAGAGGAGAAGCAAAGAAGGTAGTCTAATCAAAGTTTATACCTAGAAAGTGTATCGTGGGATCTGAAGAAGGACAATGTTGACTTGAAATCTGGCTACATGTTAAAACCAAGCAACCATAAAAAAAAAAAAAAAACAACAAACAAACACAAAACTGAAATCAAGCTCAATTATTTCCACTTTTGAAAAGCCCTGAGATGTTTTGGTTGTAATAGCTTTCCAGTTTCAAATGTTCTACTTTTGTAGAATTTCTGTCAATATAGTTCTTATATTTCTGTCCTACTGAAATAGGAGCTATAGCTGGATTTTTTTTCAGATGTTTTGTGTTGTTATAGTACATTGAATCAATACACTTACCTAAATAGATGAAAATATTTTGGATTTATGTGTTCACTCTTCCAAAAATTGTAACAGGAAGTGTGTATAGGTATCTTAGTCAAATGAAAGATGCTCTTTTTCCTGATAGTTACTTCCTGTATTTCCTTATAATGTTTTGATGTCCAAAAATAACTGCATTTACATTCTGTCACTAGCCAGTAAATTGTACTGCTTTTATGCAAATACTAATGTTGCAGATTGTGGAAGTGTTGCTCTTGAGAATGCAGAGAAGATAAAAGAAATGCATCAGTCATACAAAGCTCTAGGAAAAAACAGGTAACTAGTATTAAGATTTAATTTGCAGTTGGGTATGCACAAACTGAGACAAAGAAGGTAGTAATCCATGAGTAAGGAAAGATTTCCTTAGTGCCACAAGTTATGTACATCTATATATGTTGTGTAGTGTTTCCGTCTTCCCAGCATCATTACTGGCCATTGCTGGAGGCAGGGTATTTCAATAGATGAATAAATTATTTGGTACAATACGAATAAACATATGGTATATGATTTTACACCACCATTTGACTTACTAAACCCAGACAATTGTCTTGCATAGAGCTTTGAGATAAATTAAAGACCATAGTTTTGTACCTCTTTTAGATCACAGTATTTATCTTTTTTTTTCTGTAAGTATTTATCTTATCTATATTTGGATTTTTCATTTTCAGAAACCAGGTGGCAGATATCTGAGGTGTATCTGCAGAGCCTGTATTTTTTCAGGCAGACCATACCATGTTTCATAAATAACAAAGACACGTCTGGTCTTCAGGAATCTTCTGACACCCTTTCCTGATGCTTCCTAAAAAACACATACTGGAAGCAATCAGGTTTTGTTGAGAAGGAGAATGTGGACAGTATGTTTTTCCTTTCCTCTTGTTGCTCGGTTTTCCTTGTTTGTCATTCATTCTCACTTGTAGTCAGTCTCTGGCTTTGCAGTTGGATACTTCCAGAGACAGCCTTAACTTCCCAGAAGGACAAAGGAAGAAAACATACTTTGACATTCTTGAATCTTATAGACTTCTGTTCACGTTATTCTTCGGTCATATGGTTATTTGAACTGGATAGACTTCCACTCATTTTCACACTGCATTTTAATTCTTGTTTTTGCCTTTTAGCCAAACATCACCAACATCCAGTCCACGGCCAGATCAACAAGTGGCATGTTTTCCAAGTAAAAAAAAACAGTTAGCCTTACAGATGAGACATCACACTTCTTTACCTTTCTCCCTGAAGAAAAAGAATGTAGGGCATGGCTTTGACTTCAGCTTTCTGCAACATGCCGCCTCATGCCCAGAATCTAATGTTTCAAAATCATTTATGGGTTTAAATGCTTTCCAGATAATAAAACCACGAATACAACAAAGTAAGTTCAGGTTTTAAAGTCACAACTTTAAAATGAAATGATATATTGCTTATGAAATTAGACAGCAAAGCATTACAAGTCCTGTTTCTTTAAACATTCTCTTTTTGTCTGTCTTCCTTGCATGAAGTAGACTTCAAACATTTGACTCTGTAATTATATGTGTGTGTTTGCAGAAAGGAGCATATAAAGAAAAGCAATTGCAGATTCCACCATTCCTTTTACTCTGTATAATGAAACTGAGCCCACAGAATGTAAATTGTAACTCTCTATAGCTGGAGTGGGGCCATAATGGCATCTCTTTCACTTTCTTCCTCATACTGGCAATACTAAATAGCCACAAACTAAAGTTAGCAAACTACTGAAATCAAGGAGAGATATTTGCTTAAATTATTAAAGTATTTAAAAATTGTCATATTTGTAGTATTCTGTAGAAAGTGAAATTGTAAAATTCAGTATCATAATTAAATTTCAACTTACAACTCTTTTTTCTGTGTAGCAGATTTATAGCATAATCCTTCAATCACACATCAGACAGGTACTTCCAGAACCCTACAGTTTGAAATTACTTTATAACTGAAAATTTTAGTCTGTTTAAAAATATCAAACTAACATTTAATTTCTTTAATTTTAAGGGTTAAATATAGCAATGCTAAAACCCAGGAACAACAACTCTAAGGTAAGACGGTATTAGATATCAAATTGAACACTGTTAAAAGTACTATGTGTTTTCAAAACCTTAAAAGTAGAAATACAGAAGTGTAGGTAGTTTCCTCTGCTTAGTCGTCATTTTTTGGATGAAGATATATATATATTTTATATATATATATGTATAAAATATATATATGTATGTTTCACCAAATCTTCAGATGTAGATCAACAATTTGTCAGTAAGGATTTTGGAAATCCCTGTCATCAGGTATTTTGGGGAGTAAAAAGTTGGAAGTTTGAAAAGATACAAACCCTTTTAAAATAGAAGTATGCAAGTTAATTTCAAGTATGTGCATCCTATATATTAAATGTCTCTATATATCATATATATATATTTATGTCTATATAATTCCTGTATATTAGATGTCTGATTTGCCAAATTTAAAAAAACAACTTTCTTGTCTTAAGTGGTAATTTAACATTGAAGCCCAATTGAGGAACAGTCTGGATATTAGATGATTGATGAAATTTATTGTATTAGGAAATAAAAAGTAAGGTCTTGGGATTAAACATATCTGACATGTAATTTTGTGGTAAGTGTAAAATAGGATCCCTGATAAAACTTTTGTACTTACAAGCAAGCTCACAATTTGACATGTATCAGTGCTTCACACCACACGGGCCTTTAAAGTTACAAAACATAAAATAGACTGTATTTAAAAAAAATTAAAAATTGGCCTTTAGGGATATTAATTGATGGCCCTTTGTACAAAAAACTTGACTCACTGAATCAGCTATATAGTTCAGTGAACCCACTGGAGAATACAACAGTGTTCACAGGAAAAGAAGTACAGAAGTAATAGGATGAGTTCTGACAGAACATCATAAAAAGAGCTGTGAAAAAATGTTCACATGGTGGGAAATGTTTAAGAGAAATAATTTAGCTGACCTCAGTGTTATTTAATACAGCTTTATTTCACGTCTTGGGCTCTGATGATTTGTAAGAGGCATATAATGTGGGATAAACTAATCATTCCTATTAACGCCATGCCAACTAGACAAAGTCTTCAGAACTGTATATTTCAAACCAGCATGCATTGCTTTTCCTGGCACATTCAAATGTCAGTTTGCCCTTGGAATGCCAACAAAAATTTCCTACAGATTGCAAACTGATGTTGAATATAGACATGCAAATGAGTATTCAGAGCATATGACTCAGTGATTATTTTTATTGCATTCATTTGCATTAAAATATCCTGTATATTCAAACTTACTTTTCTCCATTTCCTTTAAAAAACAAATACTATTTTCAGAAAATTATTCCCACCATTCATCTGAATAATTACAACAAAGTACTCAAATTCTCAATCTATACTTTTTCAAATATACACAGTACCTTTCAACTAATGGGATGGGAAGAGAGGGAAGTAGAAGGAAGGAATAATAAAATACATTCCACACACAATGGATTTCTGTATTAACTGCCATATAAAAACGGCCTTCAGGTAGCTATCCATTTAACTTCACTGAAAGTGAACTGCACACTCTATCTTCTAGTGGACTTAAAACTCTTAGCTAAATCTGTAGCCTGTATAACATGGTTAGTAGAATTTTATAAGACTACACTAAGCATATGGAAGATCTATAAGTTTAGATTTATAACCATGTCTTTTAAAACCTATAAATTATTTGTAGTAATTGTTTTCTCTATGGATAAAACAGCATTCTGCTATAACAGTCTAGCTTTTGCTTTTTCAAAATTGTTTACATAAGATCTAGTTCCATTGGGGATATAACTACTGGTATGAGCACACTTCAGAGGGTCACATGAAAAGACTTTAAATACCACCGTAACAGTGGTTCTCTCGTTCAGTGAGAGTGCACAGCAAGAAAGAAACTTTGGCATATGAAGCCACTGACCAGCCTTTGAATTCCTGTAGCAAATATGCTGTGTGGCATAAGACATATTTAGTAACTGACAAGATGATTTGTATGTGTGGACAAAGCTTATTATTTTTAAATTTTGGAGAATGTCCTGTGACTTATAGCAAAAGATTCCACTTTCTGTACTATGAAATTCTTAGAAATAATTGTGGATGTGAGAAAATTAGTTTATTTTCTTAAGGATTTGATATTAAACTTCATAATAGTTTAAATATGGGAATATACAAAAGAATAATCCTTGTCTGATTTTTTTTCTTAGTCTACCTGGTTCTTAATGATTAGATTTTACCTGTATCTGTTGTGTAGCACATTATTAATGGTTTTTATGGAAATTACAGTTTCATTTGCCACCAGTGATGTGTCAGCCTGTAAGAACAATTCATCCTGCTCCTCCAGAGGATACCATTGTCAATGGAAGGTCCCACATCAGAAATATTTTGAATATCATGAACCCTATTCCTTGGCCTATAAAAACAATTACTAAATTTTATCATTATCAGTTAGACAATCTATTAAAAAGGCACACTGACAAGTCATTGGACCCGATTGTGGCTACTGTTTCTGATGCGTTCACTCCGGTGAAAGACCTGCACTACTTCAGCATGGGCAACTATAACAAGTACCCTACCAACAAGAAAGAAGAAATTCAAAGCAATTTAAAATGGAGGGAAGCTGGCGTAGCAACCCATACTGAAAAGAATGACAAGATGAAGTACCAGCTTTTGGTGGCTTGTAAGAACATAGATCTTATGACCCAAGACAGTTTCTATGATGATAGTCATCCCTACTTGAGCTCAAATAATGCTCTGATAAACTGTGGAATATTTACAGCTCAGACAACATTTGCAATGTCAAGCAACAGAGATGCCTCGAGAGCTGGCAGTGAGGAACGAAGAACAGAGAGTTGCTGTAGATCTGATCCAGAAGAAGGAAATGCTACAGAGGTGATAGTGAATTACAGACGACATGAAGATCGCGAGAGTGCAAACTTTGTGCTTGACAATCATGATTTAGATTTTTCCTGTAAAAATGAAGTGATAGAGGCCTATCATGCCTTAGAAGATAATTCTGTAGTTGCAGGAATTCCCAGAGTAGAAGTGCAAGTTCCTTCTGGAAAACAGACAGAAAATCATGTTTGTCTCTCTGAATTTGAAATGGAAAAAGAAGCATTGTCAGAAGCAACTTCAAAAGACCAAAGTGAGCTTGTACCTGTTGTTCATGTTACATTCTCTGAACAAGACTCAGCTAGAGAGCCACACATTGTTAAACAACCTCCCACAAAAAAGAGTGTAATTCGTAGCCTGCCTCCTCATGTTACTCAGAGCTTCAACATTCTTGCTCGCAAAGAAAACGGCAAAAGTAAAAGGAAGATGAATAAACCCAAATATTCATCAAAATCTAAAATGAGTAGCAAGATAAAGATTTCCGAAGACCTAATTGTTTCTGATGAGATTTCCACAAAATGTAATGCCAAGAGTCACATTTTTCCATCTTTGGAATTGCCACACATGGAATCTGAGACTTCCCCAAAGCATCAAAAAAACCCCCCTCATGCTGACACAGACCGTTTTGCTCAGAGTGCTCAAAAACTTAAAAAGCACGGTTTCCCCTGCAGTTGCAAAAATTCAGTTATCTTAAAGAAACCTGTTACTCCCCTTTCCCTGCCACATGCACAATCTGCTTCAGCTTTTGTAGATCTGAAATACAGTGACATGTTCAAGAAAATAAATTCAAATGACAAAGGCCCAGGTATTTATGAAATGTTTGGAACTCCTGTCTATGACCACATGCGTGAGCTTGATCAGCATGAGAACAGATTTTACAGAGATGTTTGTTCTGCTCCAACTGGGAGATGCACTGCTAGCATCTGCAGATCTACCTGCGGGAAAGGGAGAGAGGGCAGCCGAGTAAGAAATACTCAAAAGAGAACATGTTCTAAGCCAAAGAAGACCATACCTGGCACAAAACAAAAGCAGAAGAGTTTAATTACAAAGGACAGAAGTACCAAGTTGAGTGACAGCAACACAGAACAAGGTAATGTAATAAGTTCTGATTCAGATGTTCAGATAAACACTTCAAGGAGCATGATATTGCTCCGTGAAGACACAGATCATCAGCTTATATTTTTAGAAGAGCTTTCCCAGTCAACTAAGCAAAATATTTTTTTTTCAAATTCAAACTTATCAACTATTAAAGAAGTTTCTTTGGAGCAGCCTCTAGACAGCCAGGATATACCCAGCCAACAGAGACCTGCTGCCTGTAGCCAGAATCTTCTGCAGTTTAGTGATAAAGACTACAAAGACTGTGTTCCTCTAACTAGCAGTCCACTAACAACAGACAAGAACATTTGTGTGCTGCAGCAAAGTGTGGATATGAATGGCTGCGAAGGCCTGGAATCAGACCAGGCCTCCTTCAAGTCTATAAATGAAAGCGAAGCATTGCCCTTTTTGTACAGGCTGCAGCATCAGTCCCCTCCAATACAGGTAAATCAGAGTTGGTCATACAGACCTCAAAATTGTGGTTCAGCAGATGAACTGACTCAGCCTTCAGTGATTCAGACAAAAAATGTTACAAGTCCCAGTTTCCAGACAAGTCAAAGCATTTTGTCCTGGGCAGATAATGAGGATATGACTGATGAGTTGCTTTGTTGTCTGGCTGAAGAATTGCTAATGCTTGAAGGAAAAGACATCAACTGTTCAAGAACAAAAAACACAAGTTCTAAAATGCAAAATGTGCATACTAAAGAAGAAGAAAATACGATGAATGGAGATGGAGCAATAGTAAATAGTGTTCTAGAGAAGGTAAAAGTAATTTCTTGTAACTTGATAGCTCCTTTGAGTGATGCTTCAAGACAAGTTTGGACAAAAGGTAGGAGATACGTACTCATTAATGATCAAGTTCCTTTTTCTTGCACCAGCTGCCCACTGATTCTTCCAGTGCCCAGCTGAAGATACCCGTCATAGAGACTGCATATCAGGACACAAGCCAGATAGTACTAAGGCATGACAGGAGTAGCTATCAAGGCTTATACGATGGGCCAAGATAAATTGAGAAATAGTCATGAATAAAAAGGAGAGGCTATTTTAACTGAAAAGAGTGCATAAAAAGGTGCTGGGGCAAGGCAAAAGCCTTTGAGATCTTGACATCTAAGGAATATGAAAAGACTCTACAAATTACTCTTGTATACCTAAAAGGGCAATTTCCTAAAATCTCTGAGTGCAACCAGATAATTTTGTAGGTATGAACTACAAGTACTGGCTTATCAGACAGACGTAAGGCTGTTTACTCAATGCTAAAGAAAAACTTCAAACTCAGAAGGCTTAGATTCTGGCCCCCAGTTAGTTAAGAACCTTCACCTACTAAAGTGCTTATCTACCAGTACCACTTCTCTTTGGCCCTGTTAGCTTTTTGTTTACAAATGTTTAAGGAAATGTATTTCACTACTTTTTGATACACTTCCTTATGCTTCTGCAGACACAGGTGCCAGTTTTACTTCCATCCTCACTTTTAGGGAGATCCACAGCTAGATGTAATGATGATCTTTCTGAAGTAGTCTCTTCTTCCTCTGAAGTCATGTCCAAATTGTTTTCCTCAGACTCGGGTTACATGTTACCTAGAGCAAGATGATTGCCACATTCAGCTTAGCAAACTCTACCTATGTGACAAAACAGAAAGAAGTAGTAGTAAACAGATTTGTATCCTGCTCTTTTAAGCGTTTCTTTTGCCTGTCTTTATGTCAGCTGAGAAAAGATGTCATGCTGTAATCTTCTGGTTATGTGCTATTGTGATATATGCTTGAAAATATTTACCTAGTTTTACTTAGTATAGCAATTGTATTGGTGAGATGCGCAATGAGTATGTATATCTATCTATCTATCTATCTATGTGTATATATATATATGTGTGTGTGTGTCATGCCAGGTAAGAATTACTCCTTACAAAAAATGTAAGGATAATACAAAGCCTTTCTTTTCTCACCTGCTTCCTCCCCACACTGACCATCATTTTTCAAGCAGAGTTACAGTAAAGCCTTTTGGACATCAAACGAAGAAAATGGTCTACTAAGCTTTGAGGAACCTACTAAATTACGAGGAAGCAGTTTAGTTAACAAAGATCCTATCATGTGGACAAGAGGTGAAGTCCTTGGAAAGGGAGCCTATGGCACGGTAAGTTGATGTCTGAGTATGTTAAGAGATGTCATTTTTGAGCTGTACCTTGCCTTGTAACTGTCTGTTGTCCTATTCAACAAACAAACATGAGACATGAAACATGACAAACACAAAGACACTATTTAAAATAAGTCAATGCAGTTTCATTTCATGTTTAATTTTATTAAATGCTGGTTTCACTGTAGGTATACTGTGGCCTGACAAGCCAGGGACAGCTAATAGCTGTAAAACAGCTTGTTTTGGGTACGTCAGATCAAGTCACAACAGAAAAGGAGTATCAGAAGTTTCATGAGGAAGTTGACCTTTTGAAGACATTGAAGCATATCAATATTGTAACTTATTTGGGAACTTGTCTGGAAGACAACATTTTAAGCATTTTCATGGAGTTTGTTCCTGGTGGCTCGATTTCTAGTATTATTCATCGTTTTGGTCCATTGCCAGAAATTGTTCTTCGTAAATATACAAAGCAAATTCTACAAGGAGTTGCATACTTACATGACAATTGTGTGGTACACAGAGATATCAAAGGCAATAATGTTATGCTTATGCCAAATGGCATAGTAAAGCTAATTGACTTTGGCTGTGCCCGGAGGTTAGCTTGGGTAAGCCTCAGTGGCACACAGAGCGAGATGCTCAAGTCTGTGCATGGGACTCCATACTGGATGGCACCAGAGGTTATAAATGAATCTGGATATGGAAGAAAATCAGACATATGGAGCATCGGCTGTACTGTGTTTGAGATGGCAACAGGAAAACCGCCACTGGCTTCCATGGACAGGATAGCAGCCATGTTCTATATTGGGGCCCACAGAGGACTGATGCCTTCCCTACCTGATCGATTCTCTGTCACTGCAGTGGATTTTGTGCATGCATGCTTAACCAGGTATGTAGAGTTTTGGGTGAAAACTTAAAGGAAAAATGCAGATAGTTTGTATTATAGAGATTGCTGATGGGAGCCTAGGTTACCTCTTACCTGGTAGATATGACTACTGTAAATGCATATGTTTTTCAACATTTCAGGAAAACTCTTAAATAATAGTATACATAAAAGAGCTTTACACTCTCTAATGGTATAAGAAAACCCTCACAATTTTTTTTGCAGGCTTTTTTACTAATTGTTTACTTTCCCTGTAATTTTCATGCAGAAATATGGCACCATTGGGTTTTATACAAAATGTTTGATAAATAAGCCTTGCTGTTCCAGTATCACATTGGCTGAGTCTGGCTTACTCTAGGCAAGTTATTTTGAAGACAATATTCTTTCACTTAATTCTTATCTTCTGCCGTAGAAAAGTTGGTTATTGCTGCTGGTCCAGGAAATACATACTTGCCTGAAGCATAAAGTTCTCTATATAAAAATCCCAAATCACCAGCAGTCACCCATTATAAGAACTATTTTTGCAGTGTTTTGTTTTAAATATCAGCTTTCTCCTAGATGTTTAAATGAACTGTCAGTTTCAAGACCTAAGCTCCAGACCTCTCTGGTAGTCTTTATAAAATCAATCACAGATTTTTACATACCTCTAAAGACCAGTTTTGAGCACTAGAGAGAGGTGTGTCATTTAGTGGGTATGGCAGCAGTTCTGGCAGCAGGAAATCTCATCTCTAATCCCTGGGTTTGAATTGTTATGATATGCTTATGGTTCCTATGGACCATATAACAATAACCAGAAAAGCTGTGGACTATATATAGCGATATCATATATACTTCGATTCAGTGAGAACAGTGTTTAAAAGGTGGAAAGAACTGTTAGGTAAAAGAAAACATGAAGACAAAATACTTTTCCAATAAAGTATTTAACTTTTCAAAAGCCAGGATGCATCTGTGCTGGCCAAATTTTAATGGATGATATCACCATGTCCTAAATATAAACACCTCCCTTATCCCATCTTCCCCATTTGTTTATTATTTAAGAAATCAGTGTCCTTTACTGCTTCCCCTGCTTTTTCCTCCAAATTGAGGGTTGGAAAAGCCCAAAGCCCTTGGCTCTAGCAAGCCAATATTGTAATTACAGTTCTGTAATTCCATATGGCCTCCTTAAGACGCATAACATTGATTGGAGATGGCAGAACAGCCTGATCAACACAGGATCAAACAAATACTTGTCACACTTGTTAAACATATCTTTGGTACTCCTACATCAGCCGTGTTAGCTGAACTACTCAAAAGTTTTGTGAGAAATTTAGAGAATCAAAGAATGGTTTTTGTAATAGTAATTCATAAATTCCAACAGTCTTCCCATAAACCCGCCTTCCTCACTACCAGCTTTATTAAAAAACAAACAAGCAAACAAACTAAAAACCAACCCCCAAAACCCCAACTAAAACTCAGCAAAGACTGGAGAAATGAGAAAAAAGAAAGAGGCTAAGTTTGCATTCAAGTTTTACAATCACATCACAGGCATGCATATTCATTTCATTTACTGATTTTTCAAACCCTAAATGCAGAGATCAGGACGAACGCCCCTCTGCTCTGCAGTTGCTGGATCACCCCTTTGTGAAAGGAAGACAGTGAATTTTTCAAGTCTCTTGCCAAATGAGTATGCATTTTCCATATAAAACTATCCACTTGGGAAAAAAGATAAGAAGGAGCTGGACTTCCAAGTGACAACAGAATTTACTAGAGAGCAATTGTGCACAAGGAGTCCATTATTAGACAACAGAATGACTAAAGTAATGTTTTTTGCACTGTCTGTGCTCATTGGAGTGGGTATTCCTTTCCTGTGAACACGTTTGTTGTATTTGGAGAGACTTCAAGAGAAAAAAACCACGCATCACCATGACCAGTATGTTACAGGCCAGGTAAGTTGGAATGCCAGTTTGTCTGCAAAAGGCAGTGGAATGTATGCTACTGGCAGAAACCACTGCAGATGTTGAAAGGTCTTAAATCTCCTCAAGGAAGCTCTACTCAGACTTGCAGATTAAGTGTGTGTGTGATAATCCCATAGAAACCAAAAACCATAAAACTAGATTGGCATAAAATGCACTGAAGCTTTTATGTAGCGAGATGGGTGAAAAAAAAAGACTAGGTTTTTCGTGCATCTGTCAGTCCTTTGTTACTGAGGTACTACCACTGAAGTGATAATGACTTAATGATAAGATGACTTAATGACTTAGTGATAAGAGATTCCCAGGTGCACACGTGTTTTTATTCAGTTTACATCAAAATAATTTCCTAGTCTGGCTAGAATTATTAATCTAAACTTCGTGACTGCGTTCTCTCGAAGAAGCAGTGCATTTTATGGCCAGTTTCAGGTCACAGAATGGTTGAGGTTGGCAGGAACCTCTGGAGATGCTCTATTCCAGTCCCACTGCTCAGAGCAGGGTTGACTGAAGGAGGCTGCTGAGGTCCTTGTCTCATTGGCTTTGAAAGGATGGAGACTCCACAACCTCTCTGATGAACATGTTCTTCAACCACCCTCACAGTAAGAACGTTTTAATGTTTGTACAGACTGTCTTGTATGTCAGGTTGTACCCATTGCTTCTCCTCCTGACACTGTAATGCTGAAGTTTGCTTTGTCTTCCTTGCAGCTCCCTCAGGTGTTAATACACTTCAGTACATATTCCCCCTGAACCTATTATTTTTTCATGGAGTGCCTTATTTTCTGTGCTCAGTGTTGTGTTGCAATTCTCACCCTTCTGTTTGCTGATACAAGCAACAAAAGCATAGGAACATTGTCTTTCTTGGGTTTGTGAAGGCCGTGAAAAGCTGACTCGCTAGCCACTCAACTGCTATTTTTCAGTATCCTTAATCTGAAATAGAACAGCAAACTTGATTCTGAGACTTGAACTGTTTAGAGAAACACAGGAGCATGATGTAAGTAGATGACCCAGCAGTCTCCATCTGCACTATGAAAGTAATTTTTACAGCTAGCATAACTAATTACCAACTGCACAAGATTAAATAGAATTTGAAGAACATTATTATATACTAATAAAAAAATTTATCAGGTATTAGTATTTGGAGTGCCCTCTTTTTGGTAAGGCTTCCCCCTGAGTAGCTTTCAAATTTAAAATTCCAGGGTAATGAGACACTGTAGAAACCCGAAGCTGGTTTCACCACATCAAAATGCACCTAGGCTCAGAAAGAGGCATGGTGGAGCACAGCCCTACAACTGATCCATATAAAATCAGTTTTCCCCAGACCACTCAGCATTTTAGTTACTTCAAGAGTTTTCAAACTTTATTTTATTCCAGTACCCTGACTTCAAAGAGTTGGTCTGTATTTATAAAACCAATGAGAAATTAGTACTTCTTGCAAAAGTCTTTATTAACAGTTTGTTTAGGTATGATGTCACCTAACAATGACAGAACATGGTGCCAATATAAGAGAAATTCAAGCATCACAGTCATCTTCCAAGTTCAGTTACCAAGCCCTTTTTGAGGAACACAGGTTGGTCCACATGCCCAAAATCCGTGATCACATCACATTAAAGTATTTTGCAGACTAACTAAGAATAGAAGTCCTGGCACATGAACTCAGGTGGGATGTACATAATTCCATGATGCATATTAATTCTTCTCAGGTGAAGTTGGTGTCTCCAAGAAAGCTGTGAGTAAATGAGTTTTTATTTAGCATGAAGTGGAGATGACTGTCATATGCAGGGAAAGAATACAAATGCTCTAGGATATACAGGTAATTAAAAGCAGTCAGAATTACAACCTCCCCTCCTTATGCACGTCTTAAAATCAAAACTATCATTTTTCCTTAAAGTTGGAGTTCTCCAATATTAAGGTTATTAGGTACTTGCAGTTTAAATGTAATGGCTACTTCAGCTGATTACACTAAAATCAGACTCCCACTTAAAGGTTTGTAAAACTTTAACCTGAGTTTTTAATCAAAATGTGATTAGCACGGTTTCACTTTTGTTTAACCAGACTTACAGAATGAGGGGGTTGTTTAAGGCCAGTGCTTGCAACAAAGGTATTTCAGCTTAATCACACTGGAGACTTGGGAGCTGCAACTGCATCCCACAGCTAAATCAAGAGATATGTTGGGTCAGGGTGCCTTGGGGAGCTAGGTGAAGCCCAGCCTGGTAGGACATTCTACAAACAAGTCTAACATTGCGTATTTCTTACTTCATATTGTAGATTTTCACATTAAACCCCAGATAATTTGGATGTCTCTAACAAAGTATCTACTGTAAAAGGGAACAGGGTGAGAGACCTTAAAAACCTTCTCAAAAACCTTTATTGAGACCGGTAAGTCACCCAGTGAGGAGGGTCACACTGCTTGCTCAATTATTTATAGTATGGGAGCAGGGCAAGGCCTACTGGTTTAAAAAGTAGTTTCATTGCTAAAAAGTGGTTTGCAAGCGGCCAAGTAGTATGTGTGACCACGTTGCTGTGATACCAGGTTTCCTCAAGATTTGAATTTGAGAAGCTGAAAATACACTATGCTTTTATCACTGTAAGCAATACCTGGAATTCCTTTTCCACAGAAGTATTTAGAGCACGGAGCTATTGCTCAAATCTTAGGAGAAGGGAGGGTTCTCAGGCATGCCAACTCAGCTGTTTTACACTGGTCCCGAAACTACAACCAGGAATAGATGTAAAAATCTGCATCCCAAAATATATGCTTCTTTCTTCTCAAGGAAGCAGACACTGAGCCCAGAAACCCGTATTTTGAGACTGTTTAGGGTCAAAATCAGTAATTCTTCACACAGTTCAGCAGATACTGATGTTGTTTGCGACACCCTCCGCCCTCAGCAAAACTCTGGTTCTTACACATAAAGAACAAAGAGTTCTTCTGAGGAAGAGCTTCCTGCACACACAAGGGAATCCCTTTCTCCCCTGTTTAGTGCTTTCCAAGAGGACCTGCACCATGAGACACCTTCAGAGAGGATATTTTACACGTGTTGCCAAAGAGCACTACCTCTGAACTATGGTATCATTGTAAGCGCGGGAATAGAGGAATCAAACTCATGTATAGGAACATCAATGTTAAAAATTTGATTTGGGTTTGGTGTATCCACCTCAGACACCAGAGAAACAGCCACACCTGTAGCACTGTGAGAGAACACTACTGGCACCAACTTTTTCTTAAAGGTGTAAGTAGTTCAGCATTTCAGGGACAGGAGCAATTATTTAGCTACTCCAGATTGGCATAACTGCCGAGTCTTTCAAGACATTTATTTTTAGAGCTGGTTATGGGAATGCATTTACATTCCCAATTGAATTTACATCCATTTACATCCCAATTAAAGCAGGCAAACAAAAGTTTGCTTGGTCCCCTTCACTGCAAACTAAACCTTTCACCCCGGCCTTACAGAGACCCTTGCTGTGCTCCTGTTGCCCATCCCCTTGCACCCACTCCCCACTGCTAAAACACTTAAATAATTAAAAGCAATCACCAAGCATGGCCAGCCAGTATACAATAAAATCGCAGGGCAGAGGGAGGGAGCAGCTTAAGGTGGCATAAAATTTCAAGTATCAAACACCCGATCACCATAATGTAAAAGCAGCAAAGGGAATTAATTAGAATTCAGACTTTCAATCATCCCGCTACTTGGTTTGATGAAAACTAGCAATGTTTTGCTAATAACTGAGAAGGGATCATCTCCATCCTTACAAATGAGGTTGGAAAATTAAACATAGGAAAATGGGATCATGTCTGCACAACAGAGGTGAGGTAGGGAATTTTATTGAAAATACTTTTTTGTTTTTACAGTTCTTAGAAATAAAGTTGCTTTTTCTAATCTCACACAAACAGCTGTACCTCAAAAATTCAACTATGCTAATATGAAACATTTACATTTACAGTTAGCCAAAATAATATACAGAACTGCCATTGTATGCAAATACTGCAGTACCAGATCACAGTGAGATACATTACTTCAGCACTCCCACCATCAGGAACAGATTAAGGTTCAACATACGGAAGAATCTCACTATTCTACAAACCCCATCTCTCACAAAAAGGGAAGATTTTTAATAGTGTTGTAGTGAGGTCTCCAACTACAGCGTCAGTTTACAAATCACATAATGCACGGACTCAAATTTGTAACAAAAACTATCTGTGGTCGGTGGGGAGCAGAGTCCGAGTGTTATTACCTTTTTATTGCATTTACCCAGTGATGCGCTTGGGAGGATGAGGCCCAGCCCAGCAGCCTGTGACTCACACGATCCACTATCACAGTGGCATCGTGGTGCATGTCCTTGCCCTCCCTCTCAGCCCCTGTACTCAGCACACTGAACTGAGTCTCCGACACAGACACGTACACTTTCACATATTTACAGCTACACTGAAACCCAAACGCACCAAGTTTTATGGACATCCTCCACAGAAAAACCAAAACCCACCATTCGGATCTCAGTGTAGCACAGCAACATTTTCTCCATGATATTTCACAATTTTCTGGAATCAAAACTGAAAATATTTCATCTGAAACAGCACCTTAGGATGAAGGCCTATGCTCTTTTCCAATTTCTGCTAGACAGGCACTAGTTACCATCCAGACATTTCATCTCCAAATTACGACAGCAATTGCTCTATTTACAGTACAGTATATTGCTTATCCAGAGTGGCTGTGTAAGACACATTTCATGGCACAACTATTTAAACAGACTGAAAAAGAAAGTAGTGTAGTGCTTCAAAGAAAACATAAGACAATTCACTGCTATTTCATCTGTTTGCCTATAGCTCGGGACAGTGAAACACACATTTCATTTGTTAAAAATCAGACCCAAAAGTAGCACTGAAATGGAAAGGAAACAGACTAGAAAAGGATAGAAAATAGTCACCAATGCACAAGTATGTAACGAGAAGTTCCATTCCAAATGTAGAAAAATAACCAAGTTGACAGGGAGAAAACAGCTTTGGATTTTGTACATGGGCCAGAATTTAAGCTACGATTTAGCAGAAAATGCAATCAGGTTTCCATTTAAATATTCCTTAAGTGTAAAAAAAGTATCCATAGTTCAAACAAAACTTATTCAAGTCATTACAAGCGTTTGCATTACTGGAAACAGAGTATTACATAGTAATTGATATACCTGTAGTTACAGAATACGGCAACTACCAAGAGGGTAGATATCAAACAGTTTTATCATTTAAAGCACATGTGGGTAGCATAACTTCAGATTTAATGTCCAAGACTTACAGAATTACACAAGCACTAAGGGAATGAGGTGGTTTTGCAAAAGTTTACTTCACGTCCTGGTCACTTCAAAGTCAAAAGAAGTCACTGAAAACTGGTTGTTGCTACTATATACTGAGTTCACATTGAGGTACTTCAGAGCTTATGGATAAGTTTGAGGAACAACCCAGCAAGTCAATTCACTGTTCTCCAGGCGACTGAGCTGTAGTATTGGCTTTGAGAACACAAGAACATTCACACCTGTCATTTCTTCTGAGGAACATAACACCCTGAAGAGAGTGCACCAACCCTTCCAGGCGGACAACATGGAGGCCAGTGGTTCCACTGGGAGACTGACTGGTTTTTTTTGACCCCCATACAGCTGAAAAAACAAAACAAGTATCTGCCAACTTGGTAACTAATGACAAGTACAATGCACAGAATCAATGATAACTATTTTATTGTTGGAATATAAAGTTGGGATATTAATAGTTTTATTCTTATGTACTGCAAAGACTGCATTTACCTGTAAAAGAAATGTGGCATCACACACAAGTACACTTTTTGGATTTCAGAACATGGGTGCTATTCTGAAGTGGTAAAGGAAACAGTGACCCCTGTTTGCTATTAGAATAAATTATTACTTTTTTTTTTGAAAAAAAGAAAAAAGAGCTTATTTTCCCCACAATGACAGTTCTGAATTGCAGTTAAGTCACATTACTCTACATAACCATTATTAACAGCTCTGTGTCTATTTTACTGCATCAAGCCAATAAACATTTAAATGCACTTTACATCAAAAGATTATGTAAACTTTTAGTTTTAACTCCTTTTTCCTTCAGAAAACCAGGGACATTTCCCAGGTGTGGCCAGTTT